GGGGGAGAAGAAATAAACAGAAGGTACACTGTTTGTGTATAACAGCTTAATTTACTTGGGGAGTCTGCATCCTCTGCCCACAGTTATTAATTTATTAGTAATCTAACTCGTAGTTTTGAGACTACCATCACGCTTAACACATAATGGATGGATGCGGCAACATTGTTACTTCTGTTGTTGGTTGACTAATCACAATCAATAGTCTCTTCCTTTTAATCACCTACACAACATTCTAGCTAATGTATAACATGCATTTACAGTTTAGAACATAGATGAAACAAAAGGAATTTTTATTTATTGTAAGCTATTGCGTAATTTCAGTATACACAATTCACTGTAAAACTCAGCAGGAGAAGGTAGTTACAAACTCAAAGCCCTCAAAGCTCTTGTTGGACCTGATGTTTAAGTTCAATTATTTCCTCAGATGCATCATCCCTTCACGGGCCAGGGTCCCCTCGAGATCCCCAATTATTCGAGCTATCCGAACGTCAATACCCCTTTGANAGATGCTGCCCAAGCAGCATCATTATTTCAATTAGGCAGTGTGCTTGATTTTATTTTAATTTTTCAATTCCTTGTATCAAGTATGCATTTTTGCCTTCTTATTTTAATAATCTCTATTTAATTAGATTGCATCGAGGGGTAAGGTACATACGTCCCCCCTGACTAAGTGTAATTTATTTTTTTTATCAATAAAATCTCACTCGCACCATCAAGGTTCCCCAAAAAAAAAAAAAAACAAGCAAAGACATGGCTTTCACATATTTGAGTAGCTCGGCCAAAATTTGAAAGAAGATGAAGACTAAGAAGAAGAAAGAGTTGGAGAAAAGTGAAATGAATTACAAATTAGGCTTCCTCCATAGTCATGACTCATTCCTGGAAATAGTTGGACAAGATTTTTAACAGTTGTTTACTAGGGATCATCCTTCGAAATATATGTCGTACACCCTTGCACTGAATTCAAGTATTCTAATATCTCAAGCAGCAACGAATATAACATGGCGGCAGTGAATCTCAAATATAACATATGAGAAGATTTAGAAGGCCACCACATAGACAATAAGTAGCATATACAAAGCGGCAGTGAGGCACACCACTTTCCCATTGAACTTTTCCAACGGCCATGTTCATGAAAGTCTCAGCTTTGATTTATTTTAATCATCCCATGTCAGTAAACCACTTGGCACAGAGACCAAGAGAATAGAACAGAAAACTGTCTATCATACTTGATCGTCACAGGAAACATATTAGCACTTACCACTCCTAGGACAGGGTACAGTTGATGTCATACCGGAAGGCATCCTTCCTTTGAGAAAAGAACAGCTTAAACAAGAGTTTCGTGCAATTGGTTCTTCCTCAAGAAAAGGAAATACAACACAAAGAGTTAATGATAAAAGGTCAATAGCATGCTGTACAAATTTCTGCAATTGATGTTGATGAAGAAGAGATTCTGCAGATAAAGTCAAGAACTGTAGCAATAAGTTCCACACGAATAAATAAATTTTATTGCCAAGACTGGTACCAATCACTAAAATGCAAATATCTAACAAAATTCAGGTACCATGAATTCATTGCATAACCTGCAGATTAGGTTAATTAAAGACAAAAATGGATCCACACTTGTGAGGAAAATGCAAAATGGCAAACACAAAGAAAAAAGGGGGGGGGGGGGGGGGGGGGGGGGGGGGGGGGGGGGGGGGGGGGAAAGGATGAGTAAGAATAGAAGAGAGATTTTTTTTGACTTACTAATTTAATTTTTTGTAATATATTTTATTTATTATATATTTATTTTAAATTAAGTTAAAGGGTTAAAATAGTCATTTA